GCAGACAACCTGGAGTTACTAAATTAAGGTGACTCCCTTTTAAGTTTGAGAGAGGTGCAAGGAAAGTTAAAGAAATAACACAGCAGGAAATAAATCGTGTGGGGCTCATTCTAAGTACAACGGAAGTAGACATTTTGTATAAGCTTAGATAAATTCTTAGCTGAATGATATACTGTGAGTGATTTTGCCAGCATTTTGAGGTTGAAGCTTTAAGGCAGCAAACAACTAGACTTTTCATGTTTGTGTCAGAAGGAAGACTTGGTGGATTGGTCTCTGAGCATGACCCAATAAGGCAGCTCTGAATTTCTTACATTAGTGTGGCTTATTCTGTGTTCACAATCCATTTTCAGTAGTGCCAAAATCCAGGATGTCCAGGGAACCATAAGGAACTACTGAGAAGGTGGGAAACCACTTATGCCCGTGCTTTGCACCTTCCTGGATTATACCATCAACCCAGAGGAAGGGGAATGGGTAACTGCAACACCCCATGAGGGCAATTACTCAAGCAAAATTAGGTGTTCGCACACTGTTTTCAAATTCTGAGATAAGATGATGATTTAAGTTCACACTGTAACTAGAACCCTGGTCTCCTGGAATTCATTTCATTTTCTGCTTTATCAAACACTGTTTACCTTTATTTTTGTATATGCTTACACCCATCCTAAACAGCCTTGTAAGCCAGTATGGGCATGCGCACTTTACTTGGTAAATACAGTCGATGGTAGGTTTCAAGGTATGGTCAAGTTAAGCGCTCTCAAGATAGGTAAGAGGGTGAGAATGAGGGGAAAACGTGGGAAAGAGGCTGGGAGAGGCCTAATGACAAAAAAGGGGGGAAAAGCCCCACATAGCTTTATTTCTTTTATAGGCATTCTAGCTAGCACTCTGCCCAATGCATCATTATTTTTAAAATCCTCACCTGAGGATTTTTTTTTTTTTTTGCATGTGTGTGGTTTTTCTTTGATTCTAGAAAGAGAAGAAGGGAGGGGGGAGAGAGAGAGAAAGAAACATTAATTGGTTGTCTCCTGCACACACCCCGACCAGGGATCAAACCTACAACCTGGATATAGTGCCCTGACTGGGAATCAAACCTGAGACTCTTCAGTGCATGGGATGATGCTCTAACCAATTGAGCCCACCGGCCAGGGTTACCCAATACATCTTTTTTTTTTTTTAAATATATTTTTTTGTTTTTTTACAGAGAGGAGGGGCGAGGGATAGAGAGTTAGAAACATCAATGAGAGAGAAACATCGATCAGCTGCCTCCTGCACACTCCCCACTGGGGATGTGCCCATAACTAAGGTACATGCCCTTGACCGGAATTGAACCTGGGACCCATGAGTCCGCAGGCCGACGCTCTATCCACTGAGCCAAACCGGTTAGGGCCAATACATCTTGATTTAATGAAAATAAACTTGCCTGGAGCCAGATAAAATGAGACTCAAATTTGAAGGAGAAGATTGTGTGAAGTTAAGCCCCAGGGTACTGGTAACTCAACAGGATGAAAAGAGTAAGGCATCTAAGATTTCAGGAAATAACTGCTTATTAGCAACAGATTCAGCTGATATTTAGTACTTCCGGAGATGTGGGACTTGAAGGATGTGAATGGAAAGACGTCATTTAGACAGAATTTTTGATACAAGGAGACCTAAAAAATCGAACATCTGTGAATGAGTGTTAATGGACTAATTGTAGCATAGCCACAAAGTTGATTTTTATAAAATCGAGGCTAGTGGAAGGCTTCCTCAGCATTACTTTCCCACCCCATCTTTCTCTTTACAAGAGTGCTGGTGGTCCCCTACAGCCCTCCCTGTCCTTCGGGTGTGATGAGGTAGGAGAGCTATTTGGTACTTTCCAAATCTGTACTACAAGCACCAACTTTCTGATCTCTGCAGGTGTTTTTTCATATGTACATAAAATCTCTTTATGCATATAGTCACAGAGAGAGTCTATATATACATAGTCTTTTAGAGGTCTAGAAAGATTTAGCTAAATAGCTTTTTATCTGATTTAATTGATAAAATTAAACGGAATTCCAAGGAAAAAGTGAGCTATTATGTTCCATTTAGTTTAGCCCTTGCTAGCCTGGTGGACTCTGGGTCAGTTAGCAGTTTAGGAAGTTTTTTCTGAGTGAGAAATAATGCAGACATGGATGTTGGGATGAGGCTTAGAGTCCATTTACCTGGTTACTTCATCCATAATTAAGTAAAAAGAGCAAGTCTGTAGTTATGCTTTGAGAATTTCACCCCCTTCCTTTTTAGCTACTCGCATTGTTTCTGTACTGGCAGAACTTAAAGTTTTGAGAATGTTTAAGAACTTAAAGTGGGCTTAGTGAGTCAGTGGTTGAGCATTGACCCATGAACCAGGAGCTCAGTTTGATTCTCAGTCAGGGCACATGCCCAGGTTGTGGGTTCAGTCCCCAGTAGGGGGCATGCAGGGGATAGCCGATTGATAATTCTGTCTAATCATTGATATTTCTAGCTCTCCCTCTTCTTTCCCCTCTCTCTAAAATCAATAAAAGCATATTTATAAAAAAAGAAAATGAGCATGGATATCTCTTATTCCCAATCTACACTAATAAAAGAGAAACATGGTAATTGGCGTACGACCGTAAAGCCCTTTTCTGGGGTTTTGTTTAGCTTCTTATTTGCAACATAGTATATAGTTGCTTAGAGTTGCAACTGAGAGGCTGGCAAGTGAACGTTGGAGTCTGCAGCAAGCAAGCCTCATGCTCGCTTCAGTGCCTGGCTGCCTGCCGCCATCTTGGCTGACAGTTAATTTGCATATACTCACTGATTAGCCAATGAAAAGGGTAGCGGTTGTACGCCAATTACCATGTTTCTCTTTTATTAGTGTAGATATGTATAGATCCAATTTATTCTTTTTGTTATTGTTGTTAATCCTCATCCGAGAATATTTTTCCATTGATTTTTAGAGAGAGTGGAAGGGAGGGGGAGAGACAGAGAGAGAGAAACATTGATGTGAGAGAGACACATCGACTGGTTGCCTCCTGCAGGTGCCCCCTATCAGGGCTGGGATCGAGCCTGTAACCAAGGTATGTGCCCCTGACTGGAATGGAATCAAACCTGGGACCCTTCAGTATGTGGGCCAATGCTCTGTCCACTGAGCCAAACCGGCTAGGGTCCAACTCAATCTTTTTCATACTTTTCAAATTCTTGTTTCTTTCCCTATTCATATTGCTGTTTTATTTACCTTTTTCTCTCACCTTTTGTTTTTGCTACCTAGCAGCAACTATTGACTCTGTTTAGAGCTAAAAAGAGAAGAGGGCAAAGGTTTGCCCCCTATTGCCTTAAAATTGTTTGTGTTTCATCAGTTGCCTCTCCAGGAAAACGGGTGCAGTGTCTCTTCCTTCTAGTTGGAGAAGGTGGGCAATCCGCTTCTGCGCTGTGGCTCAGGCTCCTCTGCGCTTGATCCCGCTGCTGCTTCCAGAAAGCCCGTTCCCTTTCCTCCTGCCTTGTTTGTGCTCTGCTCATTTACTCAGGAGGCTGGCTGACTTTTAGCTTCTTAGGTTTATAAGACCCATGCATGGGTCTTTGATTTTTTTCCTTTCTGAAGTCTTGCTGCTGCTCATCTGGTAAGGTGTCACGTACCAAGCTTCAGTGGTAGTGTCTGTGCCCTGCCTCCAGGTTTGCCCCCAGTACTTCTGTCTCATGAAGTCTGCATTCCCACTTCCTCCTGTATTGCCATTTGTGCCGTTAGGCAGTAAGCAGTGGGTTACTTTTGTGCTCCAAAGTACCTTCCTGTCAAAGTAGCTGCACTAGCATCTTTCAGGTTTTCTACATTATCTTTTTGGAATCCAATGCACTTTCATAACTAGATGGGAAAGACTATTTATACATATTCCTTTAGTCCTGGTTCTTTATCCTACAAGTTTTGGCTGAGTTCGTATAAATACAAGCTTGAGTGATACTCATTCTAAATTTACTTTCCCTGTTTTGTTCTCCAAAGCAGTAATAAACACAGGCATAGGTAGACTACTTACACGAGCTATTCACCCAATGAACTAGGCAGGTGAAAGAATATTTTGAAATGGCTGTTTTTTAACTTTTAATTTTTAAAAAGTGTTTTAATATTAATTTTTAGAGACGAAGGGAGAGGGGGAGAAAGACAGAAACACCAATGAGAGAGAAACATCAGTTGGCTGCCTCCTGCAAGCCCCCAGTGGGATTGAGCCCACAACCTGGGCATGTGCCCTGACCAGGAATTGAACCAGCAACCTCTTGGTGCATGGACGCTGCTCACCCAACTGAGCCACACCGCTGGGCAGAGAGGCATTTATTTTAAACAGCTTATTTTAACTGGGTGTAGTTTACAAAACAATTTTATCTGTATATACTGTATGCATAAGATACAACTAGATTCAATTGGTTTTGGAAAATGTGTTCATGTTTCTAAGGAGAAGTTACAGGGTTTTTTTCTTATAACTAACTTCCTACTCTGTCTTATCATTCCTAGGGACGTGGTCTCTTTTTAAATCAGGCCTATTCTAGAGAATTTCAGCACCTCTGAAATAGTTCATTGTCTTGTCATTTAAAGGTAGCTAATTGGCTAGAAAATGTTTAGGTTTCACAATTTATGAACCACAAAAGTTTTTGAATCATAGGTAGTTAATCATGAGCAGTTCTAAGTCAATAATTTGAATTAATAAAATTGTAATATTTTGAATTTACAGAATGAAAGAATTGACAGATATATCTTAAAAAATACTCTTAGCTTCCAAGGGTTAATAGCTATTCTTTTTATTGAATAGATCTGAAAAATAAAGGTAAAGACAATGTAACTCTTATAATTTAAATTTGATTTCAGTTCTATAATAAAGTACACCTACATCAGAAAAAGCTGAATTATTAAAGAATCGTATTATAGTTGTATCTGTGATGGTGGGGGTTATGTGATTTGAACTGTTCTTAAATTACTTTTATTCAAAATGTAATATAAAAATGCAATGTCATATTCTAATTTTGGTTTGTTTGATTTACAGTAAATGAACTGGAACTTATCTCTTTTACTTTAGGCTTTCAGATAAACTTCTGTGAAAAGGCACAAAGTAAGCTATACATTTTATGATACTATGCTACTTATTTCTTTCATATCCATCTTGGTATTGGGAATGTGTCTACTATTGTTTTAACTAACCAACCATGGCAATTTTACATTAAAAGAGCTTCCATTTTTCATTCTTTTTCCAAATGTTAAAAAAATTTGTTCTTATTTTCATTTGAAATTGAAATAGAAGACATACATATTAGGAATTCAAATGTATATGGGTATAGAAAGATTTTTATATATACTGTGTGTGTGTGTGTGTGTATGTATGTATATATATATTTATTAACACACATTTCATTTTCAAAATTGAGCTATCAGTTGTTAAAAGTGTATATACATTTTTTGGGGACACCCTGTATATTCAGATGTATATAGGTATAGAAAGATATGTTAACTTTAGAAACGTGTGTGGGTATAGAAAGGTATATATAGGTGTTCATGTGTAGATAGTTTTAGAAGGATGTACACAGGTATTTGGACTTAACTGTAATTTATGTTATATTAATTAGGTCACAAGTTGAGAAAAGTTCACTTTTAAATTTGCATTGCAAAAAGTATATAACTGTATCAAAGGTCTCATGCTTTAAAATTAATTTATTTAAACCATACATTTAATGCATTTTATTTTTTCTTTAAAACAAAGCTGTTCTTCCTCCTGCCTCTCCCATCCTCCCAAATAGACTAGTGTTTTATATTCTTACACTAGTTTTCATAGAATACAGAATATGGTTTCTATTAAAAAGCAGCATTTATAAATCTAAAACAAATGCATTTTAAGCTTAAATATCACTGTATAAAATGCAGTTTAAAAAATCCCAACTCAAGGAGACTATTCTCCAGTTAACATAAAAATATCAAAATAAATGTAACTAGTTTCATCTGCTTATTTAATCATAGAGTGGGGAAGACTGACTACTTTTTTTTAAAGTGTCTTTGCTTTACTCTCCCCCAACTCCCCCCCCCCCCC